GCACTCACCAGTCACTGCGGTTTTTTTTAGTAAACATGTAGGTACTTCTGCTAACAGCTGTGGCTGACGGTAGAGACGCCTGTGGTTACCATGGCAGCCGTACAGACAGTAGGAAACAAGAGCGGCCTCTCAGCTCGGACTCTCTTCTCGCTTTTGTGAGCGCGCCACCTGCTGGTCGCTGAGTCCATGGTAACCAGCTTTGTGCTCACGTGCTTCGACCGCCGCCCTGCATGCTGCTGCTGCTGTGGATACTAAAGTTAGCTTCACATTCAACAGACGCTCGTAAATCTGGACTTCAGAGGAGATGTTTTGATTTGTGACCTCGTAGGCTCGTTAATGTTTTTCTAACAGAAAATTGAAATCGGCAGTTACAAATTACTTTTTGTGTGAGGTGTGTGTTTATAACTTACATTTCAGTTGTCAGTTGAAGAATAGTGAGAGTTGCCCTATAGACTGATGTCTGCTAGGCATTTTAAGGTAGAAAGGGATTATTTTCTTGAAAAACAAATAAAACAAACTCTAAATATGTAACTTTGATACGCAGATATGACTCTGTAGAGGTTTAATCGATGACCAGAAATAAGCCACAAGACCTCATATTATTATACAAGTTTCTTTGTCTTTATTGATCTGATAAATACTCTGACAGGAGGGGAATTCTAGCACTAAAATTGGATTTTTTAATTAAAAAAAAAAAAAAAAGCGTAATCAACGGTAGTGATTACGGTAATGATAATGCATTCATTTATCACATCATATCATCTTATATCGTACAACTTTTTTCTAGCATTTGTGGTCAAATCCACAACAAATTTCGTCCTAGTGCAGGATGGGTTCAAACGTCAGGATTGCAACATTTTACATCAATACAAAACATGCTTGTAGTTTAAAAACATTAGGGATAAAGGGTGATCATCTTCATCACGCCAAAAGGGGCGACGTTAAAATTATTCGTTCATTTAATGTATTGTTATTATTATGACAGTAGACGCTACCACTGGCAGTTTCACTTTAAGTTTTCGTGAGGATTCCAAAACAAAACTGACTTCGTTTTTGTTGCTGTTCGAAATCCTGCTCCTGGCGCGCCTGGTGTCTAGTCGCTTCACAGGTACGTTGAAGTCATCTAAATGACAGTGGATTGGCTCAGTTTTTAAACAACCAGAACATGCTGTGAGTTTGTTTTCAACCTGATCTTGTCAGGGCCAGAAATTGAAATGTCTTACTGTTCTGTTAAGTTGCTAACACGAGCGGATTCAGTAGCTAACGTCGGCTAACGTTAGCACCAACCAAAGATGCAACTGAAACAAGATATTAAACTGTTCAGCGTTCCGCATTTGCGCTAACCCGGCCTGCTGCGTTACGATGTAATGTAGCCTACCGGATAAGGCTAGAGTTGAATAGTTCTCATTTGGCGCACATGCAGCACTGCATTGGTAATTATAATGCATTATATTAGTCACGATTCATTATTCTCACTTTTTAATGCCAGCTCGACGTTTAAATGCCTGGCCTACCTTGTGTATCCCCTAGAGCCGCGGATTGTTATCTTGATTTTTTCCCTCAAGACATCTTTGGCTGAACTTTAAGAGAACATGTTATGTTGTGTTTATGCATTAAAAACAACGCCACAATACCTTGACAACGAAACAGGGAATCTTCTCGTTTCTATGTTAGTTCCTCAAGGTAGTTATTTAGCTATGGCACTCACAAGCAGAATCGTGCTCCGTTTGTTTTGATCTGTTTTGCGCGTTTCGTGACACACACTTCGTCCGCTAGCTGAACAAAGATGAAGAGAGCCAGAGGTGGCGGAGACGACGAGGCTCCCCGGCAGAACGGATCAGCTGCCAGGAGGAAAGGAGACCCTCCGCACAGTGATGGGGTCGACGCTGGCTCTGACTTCGGTCCAGCTGATCTGCAAGACGCCGACAATGACCCGGGCCTTAGGAGAGAAATCCGGAGCAAATACAGAGACCTCATCAGCTCTGTGCAACGTGAGTAGTTACAGACAGACAGGTTGTTGTTGTGCACACAGAAATTGTTGTTGTTTATTTACCAACAAATCCTTGATGTGTTTCCTCATTGTTTTTTCCCCCCCAGAGAATCGGGAAGACATGCTGAGTCCATCCAACAACAGGCTGACAGAAGTTTTAGAAGAGGCCAACAAACTGTTTAAAGATGGTAGGTGTGAATGTGGGCTGCAGCTTAGTTGCTCCTGTCACATTATTACTCGCTGTTAGAGCATTTTCCACTGCATTATAAAGTCTGCCACCTCTATGGAAACACAGCCTGCAGTTCAGTTGAAAAATAGTGCTTGAGTTTAGTTTTTTTTTTTTTATCACATTACTGTTGGTCAAAGCTGAGGCCTTCAATCCCTTCAAACTCCTGAAGTTTGTGCTTAAGAATTCTTTTACAGAATCTGTTTGAGCAGTTTGTTTTTGGCAAATTTTTGAATGACCCATGTGGAATGTTTTGATTGACTGTGACCATGTTAAGCTTAGACCTCTTTTTACCTGCTAGATCTCCATGGTGACTGATGCCGTGGAGCTAACCTGGTCGGGAGCAGGTTATGTTCAGAGTTTCGGATTTAAATCGGCTGCAAAGAGCCTCTCCCTTAAACCAAATCGTTTACTGACTATTATTGATGAGCGATACAGATTCTCAGCCGAGGGAATGTGTTTTGTCTGCAAACATGCTGAGTTGTGCCTTACTAATATCACTGAATGAAGCCGTGTAGTTACAGTATCATACATTGTACGTATCGCGTTGCCATGGGAACCAGACGTATTTCGTTGGCGATGCAGAAATCACATAAATATGTTTTTATGTTTGGCTCTGATTTGCTGTCAAATCTGTTTACACTGCTACAGAAAATGGATTATCCTACTGGTATTTATTACAGATAATAGTCAATCAACAACATTAATTTCGCTTTGATTTGGCCAAAAATGAACCCTTGTGTGACGTTGATATTTTTGTCACTCAGCCAGTGTTGGCAGATCTGGTGGACCTGCTGTGTTTTTTGGGATTTTTCAACACAGTCAAACAATTTTCTGTTAAAATACTTAACAGATGTTTACTTCATCCCAATTACAAGCAAAATACAGAAACAGCATATACTTGTATGGTTAATATTTGTCCTTTACCTTTCTTCGATCACATTTATAAAAATTAAAGTGCTACTCGCTACAGCCTATATACGATACACGTTGTCTCTGGCCAGGGCTTTCATTTTTGTCGAGCCGGCTTACACAAAGAAAGCCTGGCTATGTCAAACTTGCTTGGTAGTATACTCCTCTAATCAATTTTGTCAGTGAGACAGCACTGGTGTAGTTTTGTAGATGATTTAAAACACAACTGACAAATGAACCTTTCAAACATGCTGGCACGATTTTGGGGTTCGGAGGCTTAACGAGACACAGACAGGCTGCAGGGTTGTGCCTTCAAGAAGCCAAAAATCTGAGCAAGAGTTTGTGTGTTCTCCCCATTACTGGATGCACAAAACCTGAGTGCTGTGGTTTAAATTGGCAATTTATATCATTTATAGTATCCAGAGTAACAATCCATACCTAAATCGCACATCCTCCTCCTCCTGCAGTCCTACAGATCCATCAGTTTGACTTTATTCTGTTCTTTGCCAGTTCGGCAGGCGAGAGAAGCCGCTCTGGATGCTCAGCTCCTTGTTGTGGCCACAGACCTGGGAAAGGAGAAAGCCACGCAGCTGTTTTCTGAGGGGACTGCTTTTGATCCCTCTGCTTTTGCTGAGCATCTTGTGAGTATGTTTACTGTGTGTATCCTTTATGTGCACGCAGTGCTGCTGCATAGAGGATCACAGATGTGCACTATTGAAGGTCTAATGCAGGCTGTTCTGTTCCAAGTCATGCCTGCTGGATTAAGATTCATTAGTCAGACAGAAACACAACTTCAGATGGATGCAAATTGTAAAACATGCCACTTTATGGCAACCCATTAGCCATAATAGCTTAGGAAGAGTAATTCTCAGTTCATTTAAGTGAATAAGAACAGACATAATTGCTATATAAAGGTTTAAAATAAATGTAATAAGCCTCTCATGTAGAAAGACAGACTTTTGTTTCTTAGCGCAAGTAACTTGACATTGCATGCTGCTGTGTTCATGTGGAGATGCGTCTGCTTCTCTAACAGTTGTCTGTCATGGGCATCAACCGATTAGAAGACGAGGAGGACGAGCAACAGAATGGAGGTGCTGTTGACGGCTACCTGCCCCAGGACGCCTGGCACAGAGTGGCCAGAAGAGCAGAGTGCTGTTTCAGGACAGCACCCTCTTTCCACTACATGTGAGTGCCGAAGTACGTTATGTACTAGTAGTGACTTTAGTGCAGAGGAGTTTGCCTGCCATCCTTAAAAACAATGGACTGTCGTGAAAAGAAATGGTGTGGAAATTGTTGCCTTTTTCAACACATTTGGACAAGCAAATATTTAATCTTTCTCTTCAAAATAGTGTGTATTCAGGGCTCCAGACTAGCTTTTTTTGCTCGTAGCACTGGTGCAACTAACTTTCTTATTTGGTCACACCTCCCACCGTGTCACAGGCAAAACACATCATTTGTTGAACATCTGCTTGTCAATAGATGCTACAATTTACAGATGTTCCCTAAACGCCCCACATTGCAGGCAGTGGTAGCTGCTGCTTGGTGGCTGTGATGGGCTCAGACAGGTGTGACCAAAAAATACTTTGAAAAGACTTAAACTGGGGCAATCTAGTGTGAGATTTGTGTTTTTTTTTGTTGTTTTTTTTGTACAATGTGGAGCACACCTACATGTGCTGTTCCTCTCATAGAAAACAGTGAATATAGCTGCGCTCCACATTTCATGAGAAGACCGCAAGTGTAAATACCACAGTCCACCAAAGTTATAAAAGTGCTGCTTTCCACCACTGTGGCTGACTCAGTAGCTGCCTGTGCCGGTTACAGCGACACCAAGACAGCTTAATGACCATCATGCACTCGCACCAATGCGTCCAGTTGAAACTTCAACTTGTACACTCTTAAGAAATAGTCGCAAATGTGACCAAAATGGCACGTCGTTTTCATTGTTGAAATGTATAAAGAAACATATCAGTCACACAGAGAAGTGCGTTTATCAACCTTCCAAAAATTAAAATAAGAATCAGGGGTTTGACATGAGGTGCCAGTAATTAGGGAGTGCTAAGTGGATCCAGTGTGAGGTATTTATTTGAAGGAAATCATTCCACTGGAGGAAAATTGTCAACATGTGGTGTAGATTTTAAATGACTCACGGTTTTTCCAGGACCCAAGAAATTCAGCGCAAACTGTTTGATACAAAAAGAAGTCTCTAAGAACCCTAAAGTTTCATCACAGGCGCTGCAGGTGACTGTTGCAACTGCTGGTGTCAAAGTGCATGTGTTGACAATGAGAAAGAGATTACACAAATTTGACCTGCATAGAAGAATATGCAGTCCAAATAGAACATTAGAGTATAACTACAGTTTGCCAAAAAATGCAAGCGCAAAGATCAAGCCTTTTGAAACAAAGTGTCCTGGACAGATGAATCAAAGATTGTGCTTGAAGATAATGTGAGGCCATCTGTGTGAAAGTTGAAGTTGAACTAGAGGTTTCAACAGGACTGTGATGTTATACGTACTCGAAAATCCTCCAAGGAATGGCTTAAAAAAAAGGACTTTTGTGGAATGGCATAGTCGAGAAAACAAGTCCAGATTTGAGTCCCAATGAAATGTTGTTGGGGGATTTGGAACAGGCGGCACATGCAAGAAAAACCCACCTACATTTTGCAGCTGAAAGAAGTTTGGATGGAAGAGTGGTCGATGTCAGAGACTTGTGGGCGAATATGCAAAAAAATCTGAAAGAAGTTGTTTCATCTTAAGGGGCCAATACTAGGTTCTGAGGCCAGGGGTGTACTCAATTATTCTACACAAGATTTGACATCTATTCATATTTTTGTCCAACAAGTGATTAAAAAAAGCAACATTTTCTTGTGTTTAATTATACCACCTGTATTTTCAAGCGCTGCATCAAAGATGATTAACTGTTCGCTTGTCCAAATCTGTCAAGAAAAGCCTACAGTTTTCAGAGAATGCACTTATTTCCTTACATGACCATAACCTTGTGCAAATTTGACATTTGAAAGTTTTGCACTTAACACCCTCCATCTGGTAATTTGTAGTCTTGTGTTGAAAATGTCCTTTGAGTTTGAACTGGTTTACTATTGCATAGTGTTTTCTGGCTCTGACTTTTTTATGCTGCTGGTTCTTTGCGTCAGGTTTGGGTCATTCCATGCAGAACCCCCTCCTCCAAAGCAAAGGACAGAACGGCAAAGGAAGGCACCCAGCAAGGATGCCAAAAGGATAATGCCTACTCAGGTAGCAAAACTTCCACTTCCGCATGGCTTGTGGACTGGATTGTGACTTTGCAAAATATGTGTTAAGAAAACGATATCTAGGATATTCAGGCGGTCAGAAATAATATTTGTAGTAAACTTTAATAATATAATTGAAATGTATATTTTAGAAAGGAACCATACAAGTTACTTATTAGTCAGTAAAATTGGCTTTATTTCCAAATGAAGGTGTTTTCATTAAAAAAACCTGTTTTTCATTTTAGAATTTTAGACTATGTTTAGATACGTTCATGTCTTTTGTCTCTCAGTTGAAGAAAATGGATGAATCCCATCAAGAAGCGACAGAGAAAGAGGTGGAGAGGATCCTGGGATACCTCAAGAGTTATTACCAAGATGACCGTGAGTTTCAAGGCGACGTCACAGACATCTCATCAACGTGTTAATAATTAGTTGCTGAAGTGCGTCTGTTTCTATCACAGCGACATCACCCATATCGTATTACGAGTTTGTCATTGACCCCAACTCGTTTTCGCGGACGGTCGAGAACATTTTCCACACATCATTTCTAATCAGGGTGAGACATGTGCTGAAGTTGTTTTTTTTTTGTTGTTTTTAATTGAACTTGTGTGCCCTCTACTGACTGTAAGCAGGTGTGACAACAGTGTTTGTGTTTCAGGACGGTTTGGCACGGCTGTATCTGGATAATGCCAAATTGCCTTGTATAGGTAAGAGGGTGCGACGTTTTGCTGTAGCATTCCTACTGTGGACTAATAAGGTAAATTATTTCACCGGTGTTGTGTGTTTTTATGATGCAGCGCCTGTAGAAGAGGGGGAGGTTGAAGCTGGAGTCTCATGCAGCCGTAAACAGTGCATCCTCTCTATCAGCCCGAAGACATGGAAGGTTAGCGGAGGACTTAAGAGCATGTGTCCATGTAGTGTTTTTCAGCATTTTTAAGCGCTTCATGAAAACTGCTGGGATGATCTCACTAAAGCACCACGTTTGATAGAGTAGCATCGCCCCATGTTGTGATCATTTCTGTCTGACATATCGGACAGCTTTGGGATAAACAGACTTGGGCAGGGGAATCCATTTTCTCAGTTTCTCAGGTGAAGAGTCCTATCCATATGATTGGCTGCCTGAAACGGAGCAACAGTGATGATGCCAGCACTTTTCTGAAAACATTTTCTACTAGAAGTGCTCAGAGTGGCTGCTGCACAAAAAGTGTGTGCTCTGAAAAATCCCTCTGGGTGCAGCAGTTTTTCTCTCCGCATACACTCTCTCCTCATTGGGAACAATTAAAAAAAGATGCTGGTGCACAGAAAAGAAACACTGTACAGACACTCAACCTAATCTAGTAACAATACCAGAGCTGCTATTAAATCTCGTTTTGTGTTTGTGGTCATAATTTTGTGCTCTGTTTCTTCTTTCCCCAGGAGCTCATAGATGCCCTCGACATCAAAGACACGATGATTCAGCCTCTAAACACACAGAACGAGTGACAGGCCGTGCTCGCCAAAACCAAATGTTGTTTTTATATGCTACGGTTCTTTTAAAAAAAAGAAAATTGCAAAATCCAAAGGGTGTCCAACCTTTATCAGTGAGATTGTCTACTTTTACTCTTCGTGTTTTGTGTTTCTGCCTTAATTTCTGATGACAGATGAAGCCCTCCTGGGCATGGATGATACCCGTCTTGCACAAATCTGGGGAGACAAACATATCATTCAGTTGCACATTTTGTTTTAATTTTTTACTGTTTTTAAACATTTGATTAATAAAATGATAAGAAAGAAGAGAATGCCAG